TACAGTCTATAACGTCCCTAGTCAGTGTTGCAATCCGATAATTACAGAAATGTTTTGCAGGGCATCCTTTACTAATGTGAGGACTAAATATGGGCACATCTTCTTTAGCAACGCCCAAACTAATCATAATTATATAGTAGTATTTAAAAAAAGGTTTTGCCGAAACCCGTAGGTTTCTGGAATCTTAATTGTTCTTTATTTGTCTCCAGATAACAACTACTCACTGCCAAATGCATTACCAAAATAGGTCACTTATTTCAAGAGGATTGCAAAACAGTCTTGCACATAAAACCTGCTATTTCCATCTTTTATCTTATCGATGATATGCACAGCTCATTGGTCAAAGAATAAATAGACTGTGTCTTGCGTCCCAGGCAAATGGCTCGGTATTTCCCCAAACGTTTGCGTTAGCAAGCTCGCCATGGTCATTTCGCCGATAACAATATAAACAAGCGAGAAGTCAGTTCTCGAGATAATTTATAGTAAACTTTTAAGAAACAGTTATTGACTATTTGTCAAGTGATTTTCCATTAATAATCTAATTTAAATCCATTATGTAACTTTTGCTTGAACATTCAAAAATCGTTCGATGGAAGCAGTACAGTGGCGGTAAATTCATTCAAAATCCAATTCCGCCGACGCATAGCAACTCTTATCGCAGGTTGGACAACTTGATTCATTGAAGACAGACGAGAGAGGAGAGTATCTTAAAATTTGAAACTGTACATACTTTAATCTAGTTATACTTGTTTTTATCAACCATGTCTGTGTGATATTTGCGGCGATGCCTGTTCGCCTTGTGCTGGCTGCGAGTGCCTTTCCACCTACCGCTTTTGGAAAACGAAAACAGATCAAATAAACGTTTTTTTCGTACTTACCACTCACACAACTGAACATGATGTCCTGCCAAGCTTCTCCTGTAGCAGAGCGGAAAAGTACAAGAACCGCTTGTGGAAAGGTCTGAAAATTAGTATTCACAGTAATTGCACTGTCCGGGTTGTTTAACCCAATCTTTCCAAACATCTGCATCCCGATCACAGCATAGATGAAGAAGAGCATCAGAATCAGCAGTGCAACATACGGCAGCGCCTAAAAGTTCATAGAAAACCAAAGCTGATATGCCGGAAGCAGTTTCCGTTAGCTTTACATTTTTCCGGTGCATTTCTCGTCACTTTTCTGGGGCCTGACAAAATGACCAAGGTAGTGATCAGTTCAAATACATAAAACCACTTGCATTGGTATGGACTAACTTGATCCTCAAACTGAGTAACTCCCTGTCTTTCTTTCGGGCATATCATTTTGGAAGATGACTCTGCAATATACTCTCAACATGAACGGAATTTTAAGCGGGTTTCAGTTCGAACGTAGTCCTCTAAACACAAGTTTATTTCAAAACACATAATGCTCTAAGATGACAGATTTCCCGCGACCGAGACAGGGTAGCTATCAAGATGAGCGCTCTTAGTTTCGTATTTCAGCAGAGGACTTTTCTGATATTTAGGCAAGCGTTACTCGCATTTACCATGACGGCGAGCTTTCAGTCACAATAAAGTGGTGTGCACTGCGAAAAGAAAATGGACACTTTTATCTTGTCTTGCTTTCAACTACACGCAGACAGTGGCATAGCCACTAGCAACCAACAAAACTGTTTCTGTAACAAGACGTTTCAGGTTTGCTACAAATTAAAATTTTGTCTTTACCTGAAATGACTTGACGAAAGTCCACAGCAGGGTCCGAATTCCTTCTCCTCGGCTGAGTAATTTCACCAATCTCATCACTCGGAACAGGCGAAAAAAATTGATGCTGATGAATTTAGAGTCCTCCTGAATAAGAAACAAACAAAGAAAATGTCAAAAATAATTTCAATTTTGATCATTTAAGAGGTTGTTCGGGAAAACAAAATTTTGTGCACAGTGTCAAATCTGTGTTTTCAAGACAGAAGAACCTTTGTACACTCAGTTGCTGCATACGGTCAACCCTAACCGCTGAAGGAAATGGAGATAATTGGTTGTGAACGGCCCAATATTAACCGAATGACTGAGTGCAGTGCTTCCAATTGTGCCTTTCATTTTCCTTACAACACGTACACATGCTGCTTCTAGCACGTCTTATGGCCAACGTACCCAGACACAGAACTGTCATATGCTTATCCAGCGGGCGCTTTCATAAATCGGAGTTACAGGCTGTTAACTAAAAGACGACAGAGCGTTCTGTGGGACCAGTCGTTAATTTATCTGATGTTTCAAACTCTCACGCGAGGTCAGTGTCACGAAATGGAAAAAAAACAGGTACAGCTCACTACATATTTAGCTCAGCTCTGCCGAGAGTGACCTTGACCTCTGCTCCCCCTCGATCTGTTCGCACAACGCGAGAACGGCATCCGGGAGATCAATGAACCTATTACTTGAATCCGCGCATGAACATCATGCTTCCGGCAGCATGTATTCGCACGCGTTCGAAGTCGAAGCCGTGTCCTGCCGTGAGCGGCTACCAAGGAAAGCTTGTCTTTCCGTCACACAGGGAATTCGTACTGGTGCAGTCTCGTGAGAACCCGTTTGCCGATTTCACCAACATAATTGGCTTGACCAGGTGAGTGGTTGCTTGACTGGTGAACAGCTCAGTGAAATCAAATCTACTATTACTTTTTTCACGTCAATTTTATGCGTTTTGATCGGTGCACCTCGAATTAGGTCAACGAGCGATGACATTTGGATGTTTGTTTTATATACTCTCTATGTAGATGGAAAGGAACAGCGTTCTACTGCATCACTGATTACCCTCGATGACCCCGGTGGGAGACGTTGTCAGGAGGAATGCTGTACAACTTGCATTACTGTACCAAGCAGCGATCAAATATGACTGCAAAAGTGACGCCTGCACTCATAGTTCTTTACTCTCAAGTTTAAATTTTAAGATTGAATACAGGTTGCAAAATGTATTCACCTTTCCTGTTAATTAAGGATTAGACCACACTTTAGGGGGCTACTTTGCTTTGAACCCACCATGCCGAGTTACTCAAAAGTTTACTTCAAAGGATGACTAGAATACTAATCAGTTTTAGCTGAAGCAGAAATCTCTGAATTATTCATGACTATTTCGAGGACCATTCCATGATGCTGTACGCTTAACTGATGCACTTTTTGTCCCCGTTACGAATAGGTGAGAAGCTAGCTCGTACTTAAACTGAATTTTATACGAAAGCATTTATCGCATTCCATCTATCGTTTAATTTATTTATGTACGGCTGAAAAACCGCCATCGCACCGATATTGAAACGACAGTCCTAAAAGTATATGCTATCTGGCGCAAAAGCGACCGCGAGTATGCTATACTGCTTGCTTGGTTAGCTCTTTAATTGACAAAGCGAGCCTCTTAAATTTTCGCAGTTTTCTGACCACCTAACCATTGAATTCATCTTGAGTTTGGAACTGCAGTCTCGCCAACATTCGACATAACAGTGCGGTCCAGCAGCAAAAGTGGACCAGTCATATGTACTCATATATGTATCTTTTTTGTAATATCAAAGGTGCATTTATGGAAATGTATCGATAAGAAAATTGTCTCAGGTACAAAAATGTTCTTAACCTCCTTTGCGAAGTCGATCACTTCAAAGTTATTTTCCAGTAGACCGCATTTGAGAGCAGAATTGCGTTTGTCTCATCTCTCACTTCCGTCAGTAGTTAAGAAAGATAATCGTATTTGAAATTAGTAGCGTCATTTTTTTATCGATTACAGTGAAAATTACCTTTGCCTTTTTTAATGTTTCATTACCGGAAAGCATAGCACACCCGAATAAACCATTACGAGACATTTGACTTACAAATATTTGCATAAAGGGTCGATTGTGAAAATATCAGTATCTTTCCGGTATAAACAGCTATCTTGCCTACTTTGTCGATATAACTTCTGAGTATTTTTTTTAAG